ATAGTTATGATTTTATAAAATGATTACATTTTCATTATTTCTTGTAAACCTTGTTACATTCTTTTTTTTAATGGGAAATGGAAATTAGGGCCTCATGCTTGCCACACAGGCACTGTATTGCTAACCTACATTCCAAGTCCCACTCTGTTTCTTGAAAAGAGCTATCATTTAACCATTTCTGTACTGTGTTGAATTCTCTTTTTTCCTTCACAATAGTTCCAGTCCTTATGCTGATCCCAATTATTCTGTTATTCATATCATTTCTCTGTAATTTTTCCCTTTGTATAATTTATTTCAAAATTAATGTCTAATGTACTTTTGTCCTGCTTCCCAATTAAATACAAATCCCAAAGAAGAAATTGTGTTTACTTTTTCTTTCCTTTAATGTATAACAGTCTACTTCTGATGCCACATTAAGAACAAATGTTTGAACTCTAGGTATCAGTGATGTCCAACAACTGAATTTTAACAATGACTACCCAGACTCAGAGTGTAAGGGCTCAATACCACAAGGCTGCCTTTTCACTCCCACTGTAGATGTCACTGAAAGCACTAATCTCCCCTACTTCTGTCTGACTGACTATGAATCTCTGCTTCTTACCATCTTCTCCTTCAACAATTTGCTATGAGAATTCACAAAACTCAGGAAAACACTTTATGTTTACCACTTTGTAAAGCCTAAGTATGTAGGAAGGGGCATGGCATTCCCATGCCCTCTGCAGGTTTACTACCTTTTTAGTACACTTGTAGATTCACTAACCTGAAAGATCTCCTAACTGAGGTTCCATTGGGTAGGCATAACTGATGATAGTATTAGGCTTTGGTGCTAAAGCTCAATTTTTAGTCCTTGTTCACTCCCTGGTTTTTGGAGAATGATTCCTAAAATTTCAGTCCTCTAATCATTTGATTGTTTCCATTGATACCCAACCCCATTCAGAGCTTTCCAACAAGTAGTTATCTCAGGGGCTGGGGAGATAGCTCAGTAGAATAAGCACCTGCCTGACAAGCACATGGTCCTGGCAAGCCAAGGTCCTGAGTTCAATCCCTGGTACTGCAAAAAAAAAAAAAAAAAAAGTAGTTATTTCAGTAGCTTAAATTCAGGTATAGTAAGAAAGGGAGATTATGAATAACAACATAATGTCCAAAGGTTTTATAATGTCTTTGCTAGGAGCCAGGAAATTATAAACATGCTTAAGATTTGAAGGAAAAAAAGCCTCAAAGAATGAAGTAGAAAATTTCATCAAAGAAGCAAAAGATCCCCCCCCAAAAAAAAAATCAAATGAAAACTTTAGAGCTGAAAAATAGCCAGGGAGATAGCTCAGCGGCATAAGTGCCTGCCTGGCAAGCGCCTTATCCTGAGTTCGATCTCTAGTACTTAAAAAAATAAATAAATAAAAAGTAGAAAAGAAATGAGGAAATACAATGATTGAAATTAAAAGCTCATTGAATGGGCTCAGTGGTAGAATGAAGGGAATCAGAAAGTTTCAGTAGTTGGAAGATGGAAAACCAAAATTCCCCAATCTAAACAATATGGATAGAATAAGCACTTGCCTGGCAAGTACAGGGTCCTGAGTTTAATCTCTGGTACCACAAAAAAAAAAAAAAAAAAAAAGGAGATTATGGTCCAGAACCCAAAATGAACAGAGCCCCAGGGACCCATGGGATTCTGACATAAGATCTAGCATTTGTGTCATCAAAATCCAGGAGAGAAGAAAGAGGGGTGAACTAAAGAATTAATAACTACATTTGTCAAGAAAAGTAAGTCTACAATTCAAGAAATTTGGTGAATCCAATACAATAAACCTAATAAACTCAATGTCAGGATACACATACCATGTTTTTAAGACTCCTGAACATTAAAGACACATAAAATATTAAGATGGGTGCAGTGACTTGCCTCTGGAGAACCAGTCGTTTGGAAAGCTGATGCAGGATGATTCCTTGAGTTTTAAGAGTTCAAGACCAGTAGTCCTTTCATGATTCCCACTCTTTTTTTAAATTGTTGTTCCTTGGCCACACCTTGATAAATAGTCCCTTCATTTAAAGTCTCTTTATTTAAAAAAAAAAAAATCTTCAAAGAAAACATGGAAAAATACTGGGAAAAGTTAATAAAATAGAAACTTCTGATATTGAAAACGGAAACAATGATAAATATAAATGAAATAGACCTGGTTCTTTGAAAAGAACAATAGGATCAATGAACTTCTAGCAAGAATGACAAATTGAAAAGAGAAAAGATAAAACAGTACCAGGAATAAAACAGACTTAACACTGCAGATTCTAAATGTATCAAAAGGGTAACAAAAAATACTACAAACAGCTCCTCACATATAAATTTGACAAGTTAGTTGAACTGAATCACTTCTTTGAAAAACATTTTTACAACTTATCTAACATGAAACAATTCTTTTAAATAGCTATATACTTTCTGAGGAAATTGAATGCATAATGTTAACCTCCAGAAAAAGAAACTTCCAGGCTCAGATGGTCTTAGAATTCTAGCAGACCTTTAAAGAAGAATTAATATCTGCAGAGCAAGCACACAAGAAAAACCTACCTACTTTTTACTTTATAGAAAAGACTGAAATTCAGAAAGTAGAAGTAGTGTATCTCTGTATATAGGTCAAAACTCAACCATTACCAAAAAATGAAATATAATGCTTAAAATGATTACCTCAAAGCCTGGCACATTAAAAAACAATCAATATATGATAGCTATCATATCCCAATTATTGTCAGCAGCTACCAGAAAATGATATATAGGAAGACAACTCTAATTTGTCTCTAGAAGACATCAAATGTTAAAAAATACTCCTTGTTG